CTCTCTCTCTCTCTCTCTCTCTCTCTCTCTCTCTCTGTCCCTCCCTCTCCCTCTCTCTCTCTCTATTTTCCTTTTTCCCTGCACTACTTAGTGACCTCTATTGTGTCGATATATATATATATATATATATATGCTTCTCTTTACTCAAACTCATTTATGTCCATCTGCGCTGTTTGCAGTGACTGTCGAGATCTCCTCATCAAGCTGAAGAGGACCACGGAAGGTCTCCTGGCGGGCCAGTCTATGCAGGGTGTGTGGGGCACGTACGGCGGGCTGAGACGTGTGTGCGACGACACCGAGGCCATACTGGGCCATCATGTCCGGGAGGATCAGGTAGTGCCTGTGACAGATCTCCTCAGTTTGTGCTAGGGTTTGTTGAGTGCATCATCACCATATTGGTGGCGATGGATTGGACGTACTCTTAGGAAGGTCTAAGTGTCCCTTCTCCCAAAGAAAGGATGTGTCATCATGTCTTTTTTTTAACTTGACCAATATCATAAGCATGGATTTGGAGTGCTTGACAGAAATGTATATCTAATTATCGGAAGTAAAAATGACACATTCTGTGTCGTTCTGGCAAACGGAGGTAAATGGAAATGACATGGAGCGCGTCGTTCTGTCGGATAAGAGTTTAAAACTATAAATCTCCCCTCAAGTTTATTAGTTTGGGAAAACATGGACACAAAGAATGTCGAGCAGTTTTATGGCGTTGGTGGTGTGGTGGATAGGCTCTCGAACTCTCAACCGTAAGGCATGGGTTAGAGTCCTGTCAGGGGCCCAAGGTTGTGTCCATGGGAAAGGCTCTGTGCACAAATTTTCTTCGCTTTACCCAGGTGGGAATGGGTTCCCGGCTATAGACAGTGAAAGGTCTTGTCAGTTTGTAAGTGTTTGAGCAAGTGCAATCTGAAGCTTGCACTGCATATGTCTCTGAAACCTGAGAATATTTAAATTTCTTGGTATTCTATTGTCTCCTGGGGTAATAATATTGTAAAGCACATACAGCATGCTGTAGAGCATGAATATATATTATTTAACGCATATAATATATGCGTTAAATAGATGCAATTATTATTATTTTTGGGTAGGTGGTCACAGCGGTGTAATTTATGCGACAGTTAAAAATTTTCTTGTGGACCTGACAGCTGAGAACGTTTGTTTTGCCTGTCAGACCTTTGAGGTTCAGCCCAGTTTTTCTCTATTCGTTGCTGATCGCACGAAACTCCTGAAGAAAATAGTACAGTAACATTGAGCTAGTGATGAGATGTGTGTGTATTCTTCCTCTTCTTCGTGTGTCGGGTCTGGAGCAGAAAGCGATGATCATGGTACCGCATTCTTTCCTGTCATCTGTGTCTTCTTGGTCAGCTCAGTTTTTCTCTTTGTGTTATTCGTTGCAAAGTTGTTCGGGTCATCTGTGCATGTTGTTCTTTGTCTTCCTCTGATTTGCCTTTATTTTTCCACACAGCAGCAGTTTCTATAGTCTGTTTAATCTATTTATGTTGCCAAAAAATCTTACTTATCTTTTTCTGATGGGTCTATAGACCTTTCATAACCACATAACCAGCCATTTGGAGTACTTCTCTTTGTGTGTGTATACAGAGGACAAAAATTCATCGTAACTGGCTGGGTGTTCAGAATGCTCCCTCACACTCACAGTGCTTTTTGTGGATCGTAAATCAAACCTGTCTCTTTTATCTTTAGTATATATTGTACTTGCTCCAACATCATTGTCTGGGGGAGGTTGGCGGGTACTCTGGTGTTATTTGTTCCTTTTTTCCTATTAAACATCTATCGTCCTGACCTGCGCTCCTTATATTTAAAAAAAAAATCTTTTCTGGCTTTTATGAAACATTTAGAATTTAAGTTTTCTCAAAATGTCTTTCAGGAGCATATAAACAATAACACGGATGAAGAAACTGAAGAAAAAAAAAATTGGGTCAAGAACAGGAGAACAGCTGGTGGAGGATGTGTAATGTTTTTACTGCAACATTCTCATCTTTAAAAAAAAATTGGGAATGTCTTTTCTTCTCTAACATTTATTGTTCTAAAATAAGACATGAATAAAAAACAAAAACAAAACACAAAATAATAAAAAGAGAAACAGTTGTCCAGGGTGAGGTCAATGACCTTTGGTGAGAGTGGAGAGAACTGTGTCATGTACAGGGTAGGCAGCTGGTTCTACCTCTGATCTTTGGGTATGAATAATGGGGAATAAACGAGACACTGAACCCGTGACTCAAAGGTGGCCTTGTGTGTGGAAAGTTGGTATTGGCGGTCGAGGTCTTGGCGTGGCTCTCTTTCTCTCTTTTTGATGAACTGTTTTGATAAAGCTTCACACAAATGAGGTTGGTTTTTTTTGGTTTTTTTATGAACATATGAAGTGGAAATAGCTCAAGTTTCATTAGAAGACTATAATTCTCTGTGAGGTCATTTTCAGGAGAATTTATGACAAGTGGGTAAAAGAGAATTTATCATGGTCTGATGACTTCTTGACTTCTTCTTCACATTGTATTTGTGGTCGCTTTTAAGGACAGGCGGGCCAACCCAGGTTTCATGGATTTCCAAAAATCTTGACCTACTCCAAAAGCAGGCTTTGCCCTACCTATAGGAGAAGTTTGGTTTCATTATATATGTAAATATAATATATTCATTATTTGTTAGGTTATAGAGAAAACTCTCCTTGTCTTTTAAAGAAACTGAACAAGGGACAAAAACTTTACCTTCGATTTTCTCGAAACAGCTTTTTTCGGGGTAGTCCCCTTGTGCTTAGAAGTGATCATATACAGTTAGTACTATTTTACACGTGAGAGCCAAAAACGGATATTGTTATCAGGAAAACAACATTTTCGTGAAAGGTAATTATAAGGAAGCTATTATCAAAATTGTATTCTTAAAAATATTGACTTGGATTGTTTGCAAAATGTTTGTTTTCTTTAGCAACAATGTTCAGCTATAAAAGTACATCTGAACAGCCTGTCTCCGAAATGATTTAGATTGTGTCAATGGGGTATGTAAAAACTTTAGAAAATTGATTTTTGAATTATTGATTAATAATTAATTAATTAAAATTTTATCTTTTTCTCGATGCTCCCCCAGGCCAGCAGCGCATCGGAGGGCAACTACTGGGCTTTTGTGCAGGGGCTCAAGTGGCTGAGCCCGAGCCACGCGCCAATCATTGAGCGCCTCTCTCGACACACAGGGCGACAGCGGGGCCAATATGCCGAGGTCGGGAGGGCGTGGCTGCAGGACAGTGTGCAGGACCACTCCCTCATCTCACAGCTGGACATTCTACTGGCCAGCCCGGAGCATCTGCATACATTCTACTACGGTGAGTTTTTTTCTCTATTTCTTGCTCAAACCCAGGGATTGAAATTTTTTGTTAGTTTTTTTCTTTTTTAAACTTGGCAATCTGTATTTCAGACTCGAACCCAGTGATAAAAATCTACAAAATTTATCCCACAGACAGAGGTATCTGTAAAGCCTCGTCTATTTCATTATGGAAACTTCGTATAATAATGATTATAATAATAGATTACATTTATATAGCGCTCTATCCCATGCGAGTTTATTATGAGCTCTGAGCGTTTTACATGGATGACATGATCACTAAGCGTGATACTTCATTTACGCAAAATAAAACATTTCACAGTAACAAGAAAGCCATTTCAGCCACAAAAAGAAGAACTTTCTCAACCATACATTAATAATACATGTAAGGACAGCTGTAAAAAAAACCCAAACTTATCAGCATTTACTAAAGCGCCACTACTAAGAATTAAACAAATGAGTTTAGAGCAGTCGCTTAAATGTATTAGTATTAATAAGAATTTTGTTATTTCTCTGAGGTCTTCTCTGAGCAAGGAGTTCCAAATTTTCGGGCTAAAAAATGAGAGACTTCTCATACCAAAGGATTTTTGAATTGTCATTGATATGTGTTTCGTTTATAATTCATTCTGTTTTCTTGGAAGTCTCGCTTAATAATAAAACGTGTATGCTTTACGTGTTGTGGGTCAAAGACCTCAAACATTGTGTAAAATACCTATCTACCTTCCCATCTTTACTTTGCTCCATCATGCCTTGTCCGTGGGTAGTTGGCGGGTGCTCTGGTGTGGCTTGCTCCTTCTTTCCTGTCAAACATCTATCGTCCTTATCTCCCCTCCTTCTTTTTTGTATTTGTTACTCTCTTGTAACACCTCTAATCTTCTGGCGCTCATATGACCTTGTGCAGTTGCGAGTGCCGTAAAACTCTTACTAAAACTAAATGCCTTGTCCTACAAAGGTGTAGTGATCGGTTGAGTCGACAGTGCAAGTGTATGTATCAGTCTTGCCAGATGTCCTGAAATTTTGGGGACTGTCCTCGCCTGGATTCAGCAGTCACAGAATTTGAGAAGACATTTGGTCGCTTTTAAGGACAAGTGGGCTAATCCGGATTTCGGGGGTTTCCAGAAATCTTGACCTACACCAAAAGCGGGCATTGCCCTACCAAAGGAGGTGTGTATATTTGTTTGGATATAGGGAAAAATCTCCTTGTCTTTTATAGAAACTGAACAAGGGGCAAAAACTTTACCTTCGATTTACCTTCTCAAAACAGCTTTTTTTAGGATAAACCCCTTGTGCTTAAAAGCGAGCATTTGCTACACCACACGAAAATCAGTCCCACCTGATGTGATTTTTGATAGTTAATTTATTTATGATGATGTAAAATGTACACAGGCAAGTACCATACATATACATAGATAATGTACAGAAATTCAACAACATGGTGTACACAGATTACACAATATCTAAGAACACAGAAGATATTAGACCTACATAGGCCTACACACTAGTGTTTTTCGCTATCATAGCTCACACAATATCTAGAAATCTTGGAACACAGTGGGGATGTACCGTAAAGGTTTCAAAATTGATCAACTGAAGCATAAGCAAGAACATCTCTCTGTCTGCCTGTCTGCCTATCTGTCTGTCTGTCTGTCTGCCTGCCTGCTTGCCTGTCCGTCTGTCTGTCTGTCTGTCTGTCTGTCTGTCTGTCTGTCTGTCTGTCTGTTTGTCTGTCTTTGTTTCTCTCCCCCCTCCCTCTCCCCCTCCCTCTC